CGCACGCCATTCTTCCTCGCCCCCTCCGCCGCTCTGAACTCCTCCAGCTGGACCCTGTAGAAACCGCCCTTCGGCTCCGCCATCTTCGGGGCCGACTGTCGGGGGAGGGTAGTCTTGGCAATGGCATGGCGGCTCCAGGCCGGTGACGGGGACGATGGCTGAAGGGGACTAGGGTTGAGAGGGGAGGGGAGAGGAGAGCAAGAGACGAGGTGCGGGGGCGGCCGACCAGGTGGAGGGCGAAGCGTTAATTACGGAAATTGTGCCAAAAAAAAACCTATTTGATTCGTTTCGACAAGGTCCTGATGAGTCGGCGGTCAACGCACGCGTGGACAAGCCAGTCAACTACCAAATCAGCGCGTACGTATAAAAAATCGTACATTGGATCGTATGTGAACCCCTGAGACAAATTTAGTGATCGTATTTTGGGTATTTCTAACTACGAGGATTAAATTGGCCAACGCGGCAAGTATGAGGACCTCCAGTGAATTTTTCTCTTAGCTAATCCATGCCACAGGCTGTCTTTGTCTTCTCGAATGAATCACATAGTTTGGCACTAGTTAACTACTCCCTCTGTCCTTTAAAAGTGTACTTCCAACTTTGTTGGAGGGTCAAACTATCTAAAACTTTGATCGAGCTTGTGCGAAAATACATTAATGTTTGTGAAACCAAATAGGTATATATTTTATTATGAATCTAATGCTACTAATTTGATGGCATACATGTTAATGTATTATTGTATAAATATGGTCAAACGTATAAGTACACTCTTCAAATGACGGAGGGAGTAGCTACTAATGCACCCAACAATTGCTTAAGCGACCCCTGCAGAAAATTAAGAATTACTTAAGCAGATTGGTAATCTATATAACTGTGTCACAGTATGTTTTATCTTCATACACATTGAACCAGATCCATTGCTACCACTGCTTTAGCCCCACGTTGGTATTTTACGTGCTATCCCACTGCTTTACTATGCCTGGCCTCGGCTATCACCAACTAGCATAACTAGAGACGTGTAACACCACCACTGCACCCCGGTTATTAACATCGATCAATTTAAGTTAATGTAATGCACCGACTTTTGTCTGATTAGCTTGCTGTGACGCCAGGTAATATTCAGTGTACATCACCTCAAGCCTTGGTTGTAATCACGTAGGCAATCTGTTTAATTTTCTATTGGTGGATAATGGGTATTCGCCTTGTACTTCAATTTTTGGCGTCGATGAGCGGAGTTTGGAGAATAATGTGATTTGGTTTTACTGGAGTGATCATCTTAGTTCTGTCTTGAAACTGAATATCTGTCATTTCTCATTTGTAGAAACATTTACCTTTTTGCAATGCCTCCACTAGCTAGTATGCATGATTTGAACAACTAATTTAGCTGCCATGATACATACATGTGGAACTGACAAAAATTTTGATACATACGAGGTACATACTGGTCGTATATCTTATCTGATAATACTCTTGAACTGTACCAGTAAGTAAGAAGATTTCATCCAAATTAGGCATATACTGGATGGATGGCTCATGGTTTTGTCTAGCGGAAATTTTGAAGAAAATTGAGCATCCTTTTTGATTCTCAACATTCAGATAAAACTCCACATGCGATCTGATAGTACTTTTGAACTATACCAGCAAGTAATAAGGTTTCATCCAAATTAAACTGTACCGGGCGTATACTGGATGGATAGCTCATGCATGGTTTGTTCCTCTACCTCTCTTGCTAAATGGATAGCTCATGGTTTTTTCTAGCGGAAATTTTTAAGAAAATTGGGCATCGTTTTTTAATTATTCTGAACATTCAGATAAAACTCCACATGCTTCCTAACCCTGAAAATTTATGGTCTCTGTTGTTATGCAAGATAAACACGCTTCATATATGTTCATCTTTTGTTTGTCTAGTCTTCACTGATACAGTGTAAATTTACTTTAGACGTCCACGATAAGGGTTAAGTTTGTTCTGACATCTGACTAATAAATATGTTTCCAGGTTGAGCTTTCTCTTGAAGCTGCAAGATTCCACTCTCGGAATAAGCGACTCTTCACTAGGCAAGTTTAGGACAACTTCGATTGCACAACTGAACTAGGCATTGGTAAAGATTTTGCTAAATGATGTGTTGTTTCCCACTATCTGCAACAAGAGCGAGGGCCAAGAGGTCGTGGCTTGTTCCTCTACCCCTGTTGGCTGTTGCCAAATGACTCATGCTTCTTGTGTATTGGAATATGTTCAGTTTTTCCTTTTAGTAAGCAACGAAACATCATATAGTGTATGCGTGGTAATATAGGAGCTCAATTAATTTCTATCAAGTTCAGTGCTCCATTTGTCAAACCTCCGTATTCATTCATCTCCGCTGGGTCACAGGGTTGAAGTATTTGCATGCCTAGCTAGGTTTCCTAATTTTGTTGATCGAGCTCACTGGCAACACGCCTTGCCATGCCTTGCTTTATTTCTGACAAATGCATAGATTTAGCTCCTGCACGCCATTTGTTCAAAATTCCATGTGGATGGATTCTTTAACTTTCTTACCCTGCCTTCCTTCCTGCACCCGCCATTGAGCAGATTCGTGCCGACAGATGCTCCTGTACAGATACATTATAATCGAAGTTCCTGCCTGCCCCAAGGTTGAGTAATAAACTGGACCTAGCTAGCTACCAGATCTCAAGGAAAATTACACTTGCATTTGTGGCTAGTAGTACTGTAGTAGCTGCCCGCCTAATTACTAACGAATCTGGATCTAAATGGCCTGCTGTGTTAGAGTGTGATTCATGTTCATGTATGTACGTGTCAAAAAAATGTTCATGTACGTTCAACAAGATCCATAGCTACCACTGCTTTAGCCCCACATCGGTATTTCACATGCTATCCCACCGCTTTACTATGCCCGGCAACGGCATGGTCGAGGGTGATGGAGAGGGGGTAGGGTATAGGGGGCAGTTATCATCAGTGACAGGCAGGCAGCATCAGTACTTCTTCATGGTGGTATCATTATCTCACCAAGTTCTACAAGGTACAAATAATATCATCTGTATTGGCATCCTTACACGTTATGTCCGAACCCCACCTGCCACGGCCGGACTTGGTTGGACTCTCAATCATTTTGCTCCATATGTAGTCCGTATTGGAATCTCTAAAAAAAGTATATTTAGGAACGGAGGCACCAAAAATTAATGCTATGAAGTGTATGTGGTAATATAGGTGCTCAATTAATTGTCTTACAAGTTAAGTGCTCCACCTCTCAAACCTCCGTTCATTCATCTCCGTTGGATCATCACACCGAGTCGTAGTATTTGCATACCTAGCTAGTTTTCTTTGATTGTTTTGTACTGCCAGATTCAGCTCACTGGCAGCGCACCTTACTATGCATTGCTTTATTTCTGACAAGTGCATATATTTAGCTCTCGCGCGTCGTTTCTGCAAAACTGAATGTGGATGGATCAACTACCGACGTGCATACAAGCTAAGCTAAATAATCCAACCTGACAGCCCACGTTATGTACTCTAGTTAATTAGCTCTCGCGCATACAAGGCATATTTAGGAATGGAGGCACCAAAAATTAATGCTACAAAGTGTATGTGGTAATATAGGTGCTCAATTAATTGTCTTACAAGTTAGGTGCTCCACCTCTCAAACCTCCGTTCATTCATCTCCGTTGGATCATCACACTGAGTCGTAGTATTTGCATACCTAGCTAGTTTTCTTTGATTGTTTTGTACTGCCAGATGCAGCTCACTGGCAGCGCACCTTCCTATGCCTTGCTTTATTTCTGACAAGTGCATATATTTAGCTCTCGCGCGTTGTTTGTGCAAAACTGCATGTGGATGGATCAACTACCGATGTGTGCGTACAAGCTAAGCTAATAATTCAACCTGACAGCCCATGTCATCTACTCTAGTTAATTAGCTCCGTCCAACGTTGCTGTCTGCTAACGTTCAAGTGTACTAGGATATGTATGATGAGATGTGAGCTTTTTTCCGGCACACTGTCTCGATCTGGTCCTTTGCAGCTACGAGGACTAAGAGAAAGATGCCCCTTGAGAAAGATACTTGAAATACGAGCACGCAGAGTAAACTATTTGGCTAGCTAGCATACAATTTTGCGCAGATCTAGAGAAAGTTTGCACGTGCTATCTGAAAATAGGTCCGTAAACATGACCTAGGGGTCATGATACATCTACCAGCTGTCAAGATTCCCAAAGACCATAGGCTATAGGGGATGAAAATGTGAGAAAGCTTTTATGATGTGCCATAACATGTTCGTAACCATGACCAGAGGAGGGTCATGGGTCGGATAAATTGTCTATATATGTAGTATAAACCCATAAACTTTGGCTATATGACCCACATAATAAACTAGTACATGCTTTTGCCTTGAAATTGTCTATATATGTAGTGTAAACCCATAAACCCATAAACTTTGGCTATATGACCCACATAATAAACTTTGGCTACTCTGCATCTGACTGCTAGTTTAGCTGCTGCGTCATGCAGGCGACTCGGCAGTGGAGGATCTGAGCTGCTGCTCGCGGAGGCAACTCGCCGGAGGAGGAGTTCAATCGCTGCTCCTGGCGGCAGCGCGCCGGAGGAGGAGCTGAGCTGCAACTCCTGGAGGCAACATCTGGGAGGAGTTCAACTGCTGCTTCTGGCGGCAGCGCGTAGGAGGAGGAGCTGAGTTGCTGCTCCGGAGGCAACGCGCCGGTGGAGGATCTGAGCTTCCTGCTGTCACATTGACCCCCACGCCTTCTCCGCCGTGTGTGTTGTCCATCCATCTCAGAGGTTGGTTTGGTAGTTCAAGTGTGATTTGTCTCCCTTTACACCGAGCTAGCTAAGCTTCCTGCTTGAATTTGACATTACCTTGTTACAACAACAACAACAACAACAACAACAAAGCCTTTAGTCCCAAACAAGTTGGGGTAGGCTAGACGTGAAACCCATAAGATCTCGCGACCAACTCATGGCTGACATTACCTTGTTATTGCAGAAAAAATAAACAGCAACAATGGCAATGGTGTTGGATGCATTTGCGTCCTACCTGGTGGACATGCTCACGCAGGTAGCAACAGATGAGGTAAAGACGATGCTGGGTGTCTCCGGCGAGATCGAGAAGATGGGAGACAAGCTTCGGGACCTCAAGAACTTCATGGCCGATGCTGATAGGAGGAACATCACTGATGAGGCTGTTCGAGAGTGGGTGGCGCACCTCAAGCGGGCCATGTACGAAGCTACTAATATCCTTGACCTCTGCCAACTCAAGGCCATGGAGCGTGGACCATCCTCGGTAAACGCAGGGTGTTTCAATCCCCTCCATTCTCATGAGGAACCCCCTCGATTCTCATGAGATCGGCACCCGCATCAAGGCACTCAACCAGAGGCTCGACACCATCAAGCAGAGAAGCGCTGGTTTCAACTTCATCAATCTCGGGTCCTATGTGGATCATTGCAGCAATACCCATGCCTCTCACCATGGTAATCCAAGCCAGGAGACAGTACGGGACTTTGACCGGTCGGCTATTGTTGGAGACAAGATTGAAGAAGACACAAGAGCACTGGTGGCCCAGATCATGCAGACGGGAAAGGATGTCAACAATGGCATCATGGTGGTTGCTATCGTAGGTGTTGGTGGGATAGGCAAGACCACCCTCGCCCAGAAGGTCTTCAATGACGAAGCAATCCAAGGTGAATTCAGCAAAAAGATATGGTTGAGCGTTAACCAAAACTTCAGTGACGTGGATCTGCCGAGAAAGGTCATCATCGAAGCCAGAGGAGGTGCCCAACCACCTGAAAGTTCAAAGACTAGCCTTCACGAAACCCTCAAGAACACATTGATTGACCACCAGACCTTTCTGGTAATGGATGATGTGTGGAAGCATAGAGCATGGGATGACGTGCTGAAAATACCCTTAGGCAATGCTGCTGCTTCAGGCAGCCGAGTCCTCGTCACTACCAGAGATGAAGGTGTTGCCCGAGGGGTGAAAGCTATATGGCCGTACCACCATATCGACACATTATTGCCTGAAGATTCTTGGTCATTGCTCAAGAAGCAGGTATGCACTTAATTAAATAATATTTTTTCTGTGAAGTGAATAATCTATCTCCATCTACGTATTAACAACACTATGTAGTTAATTAAGAGAATGTAATTTTCTAAGAAGGTATGCTCCCAACTTAATGAGCTATTGATTACATGTAATTTTGTGACTTCTATGTACTATTACCTCGGTAAGAGGTTGTCTTAATTTTCTAAGGCTAAGATTACTTTGCAAGTGCCAACAAAGCATGGTGCTAAACAAGGAAATATGCCATTACACTAATTGACACACATTCAAGGACACCTAGATTTTGTTTAATCAAGTTTGAGAAATAATTAGAAATTTGGATAATTATATATGTACCATTTCTACCAGTGAAGAGACATGGGTCATATATTCGTATAGTGTAACCTATCGTGAATATCCAATCTGGTTTTCAAACATATGAGATGAAGATCTAAGTGCTCAGCTACTCAACAGTGGCATAGGACACAATATAAATCAAAAGTTATTTTAAGATAGAAAAT